CGTTCAGAGAATTAGCGAAACCGCTATCCGGATTCTCTGTTGCGAACTTAGTCTTGCCCCTAGGTTTGCATACTGTCAGTTTTATACAGGATATTTATTTAATTGTCTATAAACGCGTTAGTTAGAAAACCTTTCCCAAACGATAGATTTCCGAACCTAATCCTGATCGGATCATAATCGTCGATTAGATACTCGAGGTTAAATAAATATCTACGGATTAGCGTATACGATACGAATCTTTCGTAAGTATTAAAAGCCTGTTTAAAGGTCACTAACTGTTAAGAAGAATTAGCATTAGTAGGCGCTGCCGATATCGCCGTTGGAAGACGCTAAATCTCAAGGAGATTACACGACCGCTCTCCCACGTGTAACGTCACGACAGTTGGTGGGAATTCCGTGGATTTCAATAATCCAAAAGAACACGACAATACATACTACAGATTAATCAGTAATTCCGGTAGCCAGAACAAACAGCAAAAATCTAAGAAAAGCACGAAAATTTATTCCGACAAAATTGCAACCGTTGATAGTCCAATTTTACAAACCTCCAAGGCACAATCACTTACAACACTGCTCAGTACTTCCGACACTTCTTTGCACACGAAAAATTACCAATTTTTCAGCGAGCATTAGAACATTTCCCCTGTAAAGCCTGTTCCCGGTGTTACCCGATAACACAAACGCTCAGCCCAGAGTTCCAACAATTTCTAAATACTGTCGAACCATTAGACCCAGTTTACTCTCAGCAAACAGTAGAAGCGTTTGAAGAATTTCTGCAATCCCGCGAAAGTAAAATTGCAGCAGTTAAACTGTTCCGAAGCATAGTTTTCCGAGCAACACCAAAACGAGTAGGCCGTATACTAACAAATTTGAGTTCAACGTTTACTTTTGACATTCCTCATAACGAAGTAAACGAACACCCTTCAACCGCAAATCTTACAACTTATTCAGAAGACGTTGACGATTATATTCATCGATTGATGCGTTTAGGGACAAGCTCATCGTCACAACCTACTCTTACTGAAAAGACCAAAAATTTTGTAGGATTTTTCTTCAACCAAAAGTCAAGTAGTCTCGGATCATATAGCCCAAAATCGGATACGCAGTCAGACAAACGCGCAGAAAGTGAATACCCCGAAGCCGACCAAGATAATAACGGAGACGGTTACGAGACAGTTACTACTACACCCCCGCATACCCCTGGTCACTCTGCATTGGGATACAGTGTAGAAGAAGCAACTCACAGTGCCCAGCAATTATATACGTCTACAATATCAACACAGCAACCAGAATCTTCTACCTCAGACAAGAAAAATAAGGGCAAACAGAAGCAAGAAAAGCCCGATATTTTAATAGTCGCAGATATCGATACTGAGACGGTAACACCAGTAAAGAAAGTTCAAAAACCGAAGCAAGCCAAACCGCCCCAAAACCCACCAGTTCAATTAGCAGTACCTAACCTAAATCCGCCTATTAACAACCCTCCGCAACAACAGCAAATAGACGACGAAGAAATGGCACAGACAACTTACCCAGTTTTTGACGGCACCAATCCGCGTAAGTGGATTTTTGATCTAGAGATAGCCTTCATCGCCAATAATATTCAGGATGCAGCAAACGCGAGGAAAATAGGCCTTGCAGTCATGAACCTCGGTCCAGCGAAAATGTGGTATGTTACCCTCAATCCTAAGCCTACCACCTGGATCAGAGCCAATGGTGTCGACGGTTTTAAGGAGTTATTTTTAGCTAAATACGCAACGGAAGCAAATAAAGCTCAGGCATCCCAACAGGCGCAAGCAAGAACACAAAGACCCACCGAAACGGTAAACGATTACCTAAGCGCATTGGAAGAAATTTGGATGGAATGCGGCGATGCCGCAGTTATTCTGGAATGGATGAAAGTGAGCCAATTCACTAGTGGACTATTGCCAGCCATTAGGTTGCCGGTTAAGCAACAGGCACCACAGACTATGGCCGATGCCGTTCAAGCTGTGACAAATTGCTACTACGCGTTGCAATCGACAATGCAACCTTCCCATAGTGCGGAAGTCAACAACGCGCTCCTAGAGAAAATTTCAGCATTGGAAGTCCAACTGGCAGAGCTGAAGACTTCTCCGGCCAACACGAATAATAACAACAATCGGGGATTTCTGCAGGGCAGCAGCAGTAACAGACGAAACGGGCCCAGATGTCATTATTGCGGAAACCATGGGCATGTACACCGAGAATGTAGAATCAAGGCTAGAGATATTAGGCAGGGAAGAAAGCTCAACTGGGCAGTACCAAGACAGAACAATCAAGGACAGGGAAAAGGTCAGCCACGTCAGTAGAGGGCTCTGACAGTGGCAATCGTATAAGACCCTCACAAGGAGCAAAGCAGTATGGGGACTCTGACGTTTCAGGACCTACATATTGTAGCGCTTTTGTAGAGGAAGTGGAGAGCAGGATTCTAGTCGATACTGGATCCTCAGTGACGATTATTGCTAGTGAACATTTCGACCTTATCACTGGAAGAACGAAGAAGAGACCTATCCTTGAAAGTTCAAATTATTAGATACAGGGAATAACGGGACATAGTAATTACGCATTAATGGTTTTAGTTCAATATTGTGACTCAAAAAAAGTTTTGCTATAAAAAACGACCGAAATTGAGCTATTTTACGAAAAAGCTTCGTGAACTGCTTTTACAAGATCTGTCCAACAGACTTTATTATTTTAAAATGTTGTTCTCACAAGCGAATTATTTATCGAAATTATCCTTGGACTTTATCTTTATTATAAAATCCACAAAGATTAGCTTGCTTATTATGAATCAGAAAATTGATAAAATAGTCAATTTAATCGAGCCTGCAAAAAGTGCAATAATAAATCAAGTAAACAATTCGGCGAACAAAGTTACTTACCAAACGTGAAATAACCTTAAAACCTGTTTGACAAAAAGCCAGGCTGGATCCGAAAATTTTATTTAATCAAATGGTCACTGAATTCGCGAATCCGCGAAGAAAAAGGTGTTGTAGTCTCCACGTTAAAATGTTTTACAAACGAAAACGGATCCGAAGAAGAGAACGCTAGAAGCTATTGAAGAATGAATTAATAAAAATAAAGAAATAGATGACAGTGACAATACTATTAATAGTAAGAAGATAAAGAATTTAAATTTGCACCAGAGTGACCAAAGAATAGGTTATACTCATTAATGGCTTGGGTCAGAGTATTTTCCTCCTACACAATCACTCTGGTGCTTTCGTATTATTTATATTTATGCTTACAAAAAATTGAATTATTTGACTTTTTGATTGCAGTTGTGTCAAATGGTGAAATATTAACGCTCACGATTTTTTGTTCTTCCTGATTAATTTTTCTTGATCTAGACTGAAGAATTTGGTATTTGGGTACTATTGATTTTAAAAACATATGGAGCAATTTTTTCTCCTTGCTCTTTCTTTAAAATACTTCTAAATGGCACTGTAATTCTTGGGTCTCATGGTGGATTTAATGTAAATTAGTTTCATATTAATATTTTTTTATACAGATAATCCTATATTAATCTTGTTATAATATATATTTACCAACATTCTAATATAATAAAGTGAACCTTAAATTAACAAGTCCATAATACATAAGTGATGAATTAGCACCATTATTAATTTTCAAAACGTCATCAGTCACAATGGTCAATTTTACAGCCACATTATAATCGATTTTATAGGATCTTTATTGACAACTACAGAAAACTGCTAAAGCTGTTTTTAGACAGCTAGTACATGAGAAAG